TTATCTTTGCGTCAAGAAAAAAAAACAATTCATTTTTCAATATACTATTTGTTCGATTGCATGAACCGCAACATTCACCATCAGCCGGTGGTATATATTCGTATATACTAAATGGATCATTCGTTAGATTTGAACAAATGTCAGGTGTTATTGCACATTGAACATGACATATTTCTTCACCAGTAGTTACATCACAAGAACATTGTTTACAACCTTTTGTATATGATGTTTCATTCGTTGAACATGGTTGATCTTCATATTCGATTTCCGTTTCTAAGCCAACACATGAACGCGAACGATATCGTCTTTGTGTTCCATTACATTTTACTGAGCAAACACCAAATGGACTCCATTCACTCCATGAACATGTTAAACATTCTTTTGAAGATGGACGACACTCAAGACAACCATCAGAACATAAACTAATACAAAAAAAATCAAAATAAAGAGTTGCAAAGTTTTCTCCTTCTTTTTCTACACAATTGTAGATCTTACCAATCTTCACATTTATTTCGATCGAACATCGTTTGACCAGACACAAGATTAATTTTGCCGTCGGATGTTTGACATAAACATTGATCTATTTCAACACATTCTCCCAAGGCATTCATAACTAATGGATCAGGACATACACAACCGGGTACACATATAGATGGTTCATTACATGAACGACATGTTAATGTATTACATGTATGACCACAAGCATTACTACAATTACTCATTATTTGTCCATTCGTACATATTTCTTGCTGAACTGAAACTTAAATCAATTAATTATTTCTTGATTTTCTTTTAAACTTACGGCATATTCCTGTATTGCAAGGTTCAATTTGTTTCTCAGAACCATCACAAGCTATCTGTTGTTGACATTCACTTGTATCATTGATACATGTTCGATAACGTATTCGTTCACCACCATTACAAACTTGACTGCAATCTCCCCATGGACTCCATTCTGACCATGTAGGTTTTTTATCTGTTTTAATTGAAAAAAAATGTTTTAAAATTTTGTTTCAATATGTTTTTCTACTAACTTGATTGACAACATTGAGGATTACAATCACGTATTTCTTCTAACTTATCCGTACAATTTGGTTGAAGAGATAAATAATATCTCGAACGTTTTTGAATTCCAAGATTACATGTTTTTGAACATGGACTCCATTTTGACCATGATGAAAGAATACATGAACCAAAACATGGTGATGTTTGACATGAACGATTTTCTTTGTGTGGTTCACATAGATGTGAACCAACAAGAATGTGCACAGGTAAACGTTGTCGATATTGAATACCTTTTCGATGTTCATTACCACAATCACCTTCACATAAACTCCAAGGAGACCAATCAAGATAAACACATTTGTCTAAGATTAAAAAAGAAAATGAATTCAGCAGTACTCACAAATCAACTATTTCGAATTCAAGTCTGTATTCAAAACTTAAAAATGGATACTTTTATATGATCATAGAATGTCAGAAAATCAGAAAGTACATATATTGAAGTTAGACATGTACTTTTTGGTAATGTGAATGTTGTACACCAGAGAGAAGGGTAGCTCAGTACTGTCGTAGATTCGTATTTTTTCAATATCTTGAATTTCCAAGATTGATATGGTATGTTTATTTGAAAAACTTTTTTAAAAAGAAAACATAAATTCTTACGTTTACAATTTGTCGAATTTTTCATATCAAGTCCAACATTAGAACAAATAAATTGCAAACAATCATGTGTATAAACTATCGTGCCAGTATCTAAAATATCTCCAATATGTACGGCTTCTTTACCATCTTTTAAATAACCAACAATATCTTTAGAACAAAACAAAAGTAATAAATAAATACTATACATATATAATAACTCCCAGAAATATTTACTATTCGATGGTACTTTTTTACCAGTAGCAGCCATATAGAATTCTTTTGTTAATATACACATGCATGGTTGTAATTGACACATACGATAGTCCATTAAAGTATCATTACATCCTGTACCTGAAAGTCGATTTCTTGCACGTGTTTGTACTCCATCACCACAACTAACTGAACAATGTCCCCAACGTGTCCATGGAGAATATCGACATTCTTTTTTGGCTGTTGCTATAAAAAAAAACAAAATTAATTCTTATGTATAATTTTTCACTAATATTTACTTGTTTTCGGTTGTTCAGTTGTTTCCTTAATTGATTCAGTGGTTTGCATAGTTGTATATTTAACTGAACTCTTATAAAAACATCCATTTGTAAAAACGTTTACATGTCGTGGTGGACGACCATCAATAGTATCTAATAGAATAATACGAATACCTGAAGAATGTATAGGTGGAAATCCTGTTAAACGAGGATTTGTATTCTTTTTATCTGTTCTATTATAGTGTGGTGATGTTAAAGTGTACAATATACTATTTGGTATTTCAATAAGTTGTACACGTATTCGATAGACATTACTTGATCTAATACCAACTTCATATAAACGACCAATAATTCCCGATGGAAAATCAACTTCAATAATTATAGGTTTTTGTATTTCAGAATAGGAAATGCCGATACTATTAGTCATTAAATTTTGAAAATTACCACCTATTGGTAAAGGTGTTCCAGTGATAAATGGAGTTAAGAATTTTCGTGGATGATAACCATCACGTCCAGCCAATATATTCGAATGAATACATGAGACTATTTGAATGAAAAATAAAAATAAATAAGTGAGATTCGATTAGTGTCTATCAAGTTGCTTTCGGATCTGATTAGTTCTAGTCTGAGAAATATGTCGGGTGTGCTTACTTCGAATTCAAAAAGTCGGAAAAAAATATCTCATATCTTCAGAATGGTTCTATCTTGTTCCGACTAGAAAATTTCATTGAGAATATCAAAGTATAGTTCATTCGGGTCTGAAATTTTTGAACTCAATAGGCTCTAATTTCGATAGATTGATATCATATTTTACCTTTCCACCAAGTAAATTTTGGAATTTTTTCAACTTTTTTTATTTTATCAAAACAACCCATAATTGACCAATGTATATTTTTATTTGGTTTTCCTTTTACTATGGTTACTTTGAAATATTTAACATATATTGGATAATTTGGTGTATAAAGATTTGTATTTGATGTTTGTTTAAATATTGACATATCAATACGTTTTAATAATTGTCGATTTATATCTTGTAATTCAATACGAATTTGTTGAATATGATGATTATTTGTAAGAATAGATATATTTTCAATATGACGAATAAAAACAGTTTCATTAAATTCAAGAATAAAATATAATGATTGACTGTTATTTTGTGTTGAATTATATATATCTGGTATATTTAATGTACCACCAACACCCTTAAGTAAACGTTTCGCATGACGTTTATCCATTAAATCTATTGAATGACAATACTCAGGTGGTTTTGTTGTTTTCATAGTTGTAAGTTTAGTTGTTGGAAGATTTGAAATTTTAAAGAAACATCCACGAATTAATAATTGAACATGTTTAATATTCTGATCATCTATTGTATCAAGAAATATAATTCGTATTGTGGCAACATTATCAATAGATAATATTTCATTTCTAGCTGTTTTTAATAAACGTTCATCGATTATATTATCATTAATATCAAAAAATGTTACTTGATAATTTTTTACATTATGTTTATTACCAATAATTGATATATTATCGATATTACTAATAATACCTTGTTTAAATGCAATATCAATTGAAGCATAAGTTGAATTATATGATAAACCATCTGGTGAAAATATACGCAAGTTTTCTTTGCCATTTACTGCTCGAATAAGTTTTTTTCGATTTTTAATAGACATTGCATCAAGAATGGTACATTTATCTATTGAAAGAAAAATTAATATATTCATTGTATAAATAGAAGAAGGAAGAACACCTCTACCTAGCGTTTGATTCATTAGTTCGATATCTTTCTCACCACTGATACTAGCTGTAGCTCTGTACAGAAGGTTGGACATTTGAATAAGCTATCGAATTTTTAATTTGTTGAAATCCCAGGTTTTCGAAAAACTCGAATTTTCGCATTTTGATCTGGAACTTTACGAATATAGAGGACTTAACTAGGTTAGCTTTCATAAAAAAATTCAGAAATTTTGAACTAAGTGTCTTCGAGATATGCAGCTTTCAAAAAAATACATGTTATATTCACTATCCATGGAAAAGTGTCTATATCTTGAAGAGTCTTCGTTCTAAACTTGTGAACTATTTTTATAAAAGCTAGTCTAATTGAGTTATCTACGTAAATATGCAAAGTTTTAGATCAAAATTTGAAAATTCGAGTTTTCTCAGAACCTGGAGTTTCTAGAAAAATATACATATTAAAAACTCAATAGTTCAATCACATCTCACCTGGAACCGAAATCATTGTAAAGTTTTTGTTACAATACTAACTATGTAGTATCTATAAGCAAGAAATCATTAAAATCGGAAGAAGGGGCAGCTTAATGGGTTTCATTATTAGCCAGCATACTATCGGACGAGTGGTCCGAGATAAGAAGCCTTTAATGACTTGTTCAAGATCATTTCATAGCAGCTGGTACCGAAATTTGAACACAGTATCTATTGGATACATGCCGAACAAGGTAGCAACCCAATCATGACGGCCATTTATTACTGATCAAGAAAATGGATAGTCCTCTCAAAATTTCATAGGACATACGAATCGAAGGATATTCTTTCAGATATTATGCTTATAACTATTTCAGTATAGGCACATGCAAACCTATGTTATATCAGTAGTAGATTGCTGATCAAAGAATGACTATCAGTATGCGGTGATAGAATGATGACCAAAGAATAACCGATCATTAAACTATTGAACTACTGCCTGGCATATCGGTGGTTTTTATCCGATTTGTCTCATATGGGGAGTTCAATATTTCGAAGTTAGGAATATCTTATACTAAGGTTCATCCCACTTGGAAATACATTTCTCTACAGAAGAATAAAACTGTAAGTTTTTGAAAAATATCTAATTTGGAAATGTGTTCAGGTTCTAAATTTCTCTTCTGCCATATGTTTATTACGTTTTATTCTTTGTGTTGTTTGAGGTGGTTTTGTTGTGGCTGATGTTGTTCCAGATGGCTTTGTTGTGGTTGATGTAATTGTTTGTGTTGTTCGTCGACGTGTTGGAAGGATACCAAAACAACCTTTAATTGACAGACGAATATTTTTTGGTGGTTGATTATTATTTGTTTCAATGTATGTGATTTGTATTGCAGCAATACCAACTTCTGTTAAACCGTCAACAGTTAAATCCTTATTGGATTCAATTGTTTGTACAATTGATTTGTAATCATCAATAAGATCAACTTGAAATCTTTTAACATTTGTTGTTGAACTTATTAAAGAAACTGTTTGAATTTCAGCATAAATAGTCGATTTTAAAATTATGAGAAAAGTTATAGGTAATTGCTGTGCATCATATGAAACTAATGATGTTTCATTGAAATAATCACTTAATTTATTAGTAGTTTTTCTAGGTAATGTACCAGTTATTGAATCTACCAGAATAGTAGAATCAAGTTTATTCATCATATCGATTTCATGACAATGACCTAATAAGAGAATGAAAGTTTTTTCTTAATTAAAAACAATAAATTTATACTAACTAGTTGTTAACATCGGTGGTTGTTGTATCGTCGTTACTGGAGTAGTTACCGTTGTTGCTGTTGGAGACAGATTTATTCCAAAACATCCATCAATACTCAAAATAATATTTCTTGGTGGCTGTCCATCTATTGTTGTAAGATACGTTATTTGCAATGCAGCAATTGGAACATGAAAATTAATATTCGATTGTGTGTGTTGTGTATCGATGAAAATTGTTTGTAAAATTGTTCGATCATTATCGATTAAATCAATTTTATATTTCCGAACATTTGTTTCATTATTTGTGATGGATATTGATTTTAATTCAACATAAATATTTGTTTTAAATTCAATAATAAATGTTGGATTTGATGTTGAATAAGAAATTGATGTTGATGAATTAAAATAATCAAATATTGATGACGATGATGATATTGGATTAGTACCAGCAATATATGCAATAACTTTAGTAGCTACAGGTTTATTTGACATCAAGTTCAAATCATGACACGTAGCTGCAATGATAATTACAATTAAGTATAAAAAAAATAATATTTTTTTTTTTCATGTATTACTTGGTGTTGTTGTTGATAATACCGGTCGTATTGTTGTTGTTGTTGAGCGAGGTTGAATAGCAAAACAACCTTTAATTGAAAGACGAACATTTTTTGCTGATTTTCCATCATATGTTTCTTCAATTGTGATTTTAACTGAGCCAATATTTTGTATAGGCTCCATTATTTTTTGTTCATTTGAATAATCAACAAATATTGTTCGCATAAGTAATTGATTTTTATCAAGATATTCAATTTTAATTCGTTTTACATTACTATGAGATATTGATGCAAGTCCAACATGTTTCAAATAAACAAATAGACTTGATTTGAATATGACAAATAAAACAACATTATGTTCAGTTTCATCGAATGATATCGATTTTCCATAGATAAGATCCAAAAGTGAAGAATTAGTACCTTTTGGGTTTGTACCACTAAGACCAGCAAGAGTTTTTTTACTGTAGGGTTCTTGCATTGCATCAAAATCTGCGCAATGATCTAGTACGAGAAAAAAAACAAAAGATTGGAAACTGTATATTGAACGACGTAAAATCTAAAAGTTTAACTCGTACTGCACATCATAGAGATACTATGTATGAGTATCTGCTTTTAAAATATTTTCAAGTTGCGCTTCTGTAAAAATATTTTACAAGTATAATAGAAAATATCATAATAAAAAATCAAATGATGATAGGCGAAAAGCTTAGAATTTCAAGTATCTACTAACGGAAGTCAGCAACAAAGTTTAGAACATTTGAGGTAAATTGAAAATTTTGTGCCCTGTCCGAATATATGATCAAAATTTGTATGAGACTCATAGATTAGGAAATATGAAACGAATATTTGATAGGTCCGAAAATAAAATTTGGAAGTATTGATTTCAGTGAGAAAAAAAAAACATTCAAAGTAGAAGTAGAATTTATTAAAATATACTGAAAGAGAGAGAGAGAGAGTAAACATTTCGAAACAAAATTATATCCTAATCATTATATAGTTTTCTGTAATGCTTTCATCAATCATAAGAATTTTAGTAAAAGATATATTGACATCATCGAAACTCTTTGATTTCGAAACTTACAAAATGAACTGAATTATGACTGCGGAATTGAGTCAAGATTTTCGGTTCTTAGCTCATTCTCTAGGAGACTATCTCAATCATTACACCTATGAAAGAAAGAATTGGTAATATAAAGTACTCAATAAGGATATTATTAGTGTGAAAGACGTATATTGTCTAGATCTTGCTTCAAAAAAATTTTAGAACGCCATGTGGTAAAACTAAAATTTAGTGAGACTAAAGAGAGAACCTCTCCGAATGTCAAATCGCTTTTCAATTGAGATGAGGTCTGTTTAGTGAGTGCTAGTGAGAAAAAGAAAAGTCTAGAATAGTTTGGGTTTTGGAATCTTCGTTCTTGAGGTATTGAAATTTCACTAGGTTTTTTCAACAAAAAAGTTTTTATTACGCGAAAAATCAACTTTCAACTTCAAGTTTTGCACGAACAAAGTTCTCAATGAGATTAGTTAATTGTACAAGTTTTAGCTTTTATAGTAGTTCCTTTCAGAAGATACACAAACTTTGCTTTTATACATAAGACAAATCCGAATATTGAATGTGTCAGGATCGGACATATTAACAATGACAATCTATGTTTTTCGCTAAATTTGAAATATATACCTGGTGTAATGGGTGTTGTTTTTGGCAATGTTCTTCTAGTTGTTAACGATGGTGTAGTTGTTGCAAGTGTTGTAATTAAAAATTTTTCTACACATGCTTGAACTGATAGAATAATATTTTTCGGTGGTTGATTATCGTTTGTTTCAAGAAATGTTAGTCGAATACCAGCTACTACAACGGATGGTAATGATTCTAAATTAACTGTCATTGATGATGATTCTATTTTATATTGAATATCATTTTCATTATTAAGTAATTCAATACGAAATCGTTTTAGATTCGTTATTGTTGTTGTTGAAATAATTGATATAGAATTAAGATAAATAAGAATATTTGAACGAAATATTATATCAATTGATGGTGTCATATTAGCAAATGTTACACCATTTTGTTTAGTGTGACCTATTTCACCTAGATTTCCTTGAGTTAATTGAGATTCTGATGTAATACCAATGATAATATTTTTATTTGTCATCAGTTCTATTCGATTACAATCACCTGAAAATAAAAAATCATAAGTAAATAAAAGTATGAAAAAAAAATGATATACGTGATTGTTTTGTTGTTAGTTGTGTAGTCTTCGGCGCGATTGCTGTTGTTGTTGCTGCTGCTATAGTTGTTGGAAGTCTTGGAACTGTTGAAAAACAACCAATAATTGATAGAATAATACCACGAGCTGGACGATCATCAATTGTATTCAAAACTGTTATTTGTATCGCTGAAGTCAACACACGATTATCCGTTGGTAATGATAACATTTTCAAGCTAATGAATAGAAAAACAAGTTTTGCATCTATATTAGTTTTTATGTATCTTTCCGTGTAGGATCAAATGTGGTTGTTTTTAATAACATAGTTTATGATCCCTTCTATAAAATTTGTTGTAACGGGATATCTCGAGTTTGCACTGTATGCTAATTATTTTGACTTACTTAAAATCCATGTTAACAATATTAAAATATAGATGAAGTTTCACGTAACAGTATAAAGTATGAAAGTTTGCAATAGGAAATTCGATTGGATCCATTGATAATGTTTTATGAGTAGTATCAAACAGTAGATTAGCATTCTTTGATTTTTTTGTATCTGATATGTGTTTCACGAAATAATTGTCTAGTTGATTTAGACTTGAAATTATTGGGAATAGAGAATTTCCAAACTTTTTTGATATATATATAAAATCTGTTAGTGCACTCTGCCAGATTAAGATTTATAACACGATGCAGCTGCTATTACTAATCACAAGGATATTGTTTTATTCAATCTATTTCGAGACACATTTCTTTACTATCTTTTTACTTAATCCTCCGAAAATACAATGAGCAAGCATTTCATATATTATAACAAGACACTATTGATATACAGTTTTTTGATTGTTTATCAACAACACCCGTCACGATCTATGATGAAGAAAAGATGTTGTTGGAGATGTCTATTACATCGGTGATGTATCCTTTGTTAAGATATCTGTTACGGTCTATGGGAAGGGGGAGGGGGGTTCTACCCTATATACGTCAATACTGCTTTAAAATCATGTTAAAAAAGTTTTTGTTAAAGTTTAACGTCTGAAAAAATTTCATTACGGTTGAAATTAAGTGCGCTTTTCTAATGTTAAGATAGGTAAGAAATAAATATAAAACTTTTATATCCTACACATTATTTTCTGGATAAATTGTTTGCTTAGAAAAAAGTAAATTGTTATTGAAATCGAATAGATCAATTTGAAATTGTTTTATATTATTTTTTTGACCAACAAGAGAAATTTCATCTAATTGACCAACAATATTTGATTGAAACCGAATAATAATAATAGGAGATTTTGTTCCATAATCAACACCTATTTTCGATGGTGTAATAAAATTAACAAATGATAAACCAGGTAATGGTTGAGTTCCTTCAAATTGTCCAATTATTTTATGGGCATATTCAGGAGCAAGAGCATTAATACGATGACATGTACCTTTAATAAAGAAAATAGATTTATCAATACGAACAATCTATTTTATTTTAATAATAAAATCATGAACATTATTTCTTCTCAAAGTTCATTTGATGGAAAAATATCAAAGATGAAATTATAATACGAAAGATAACAAAGAAAAGATTGCTATAATAAACTGTGGTGATATAAGTAGAGAAATAATACAAATGTCTAAAGATTAGCTTGACTCAGCCCGACTAGGAGAGGTTTTTCATTCGGTTGGGTAGTCCTAAATAGTAGAGCATTTATTCGATTCAATGACATTTCTCCTGTACACACAATATCAAGTGTGCTAGCAACTGTATTAAATGATTTGAGTGTTACTAAAGCGGAACTGTGTACTAAAATTAACAATGTAATTACAAATAGTAACCGATTTGACTCTTTGAAATTGATCAGTGACTATTTTACTCATAACAGCTTATGTTTATAAATGATAGCCTTCAATAAATTGACGTACTACCTATCGAACATATCTTGGTCGTTTGGTTCAGTAAGTAATTCAACTTATCTCTCATGCTATTTTTCTAAGTATTAAATTTGTCCAACCTTTATTTAGTTCGTGATCACTATGATATTAAACTTTTTATGATTTGTTAAGAAATGACTCCAGTGATTGTGGAGTTTCAACGTTTAGAAATTGCTTTTGCAAAAAGAAATATATTTTTAATATTGACATTCTAAGTTAGATTGAACCATGAAAAAAGTGTGTCCGATTTTGAGGTCTTCTATATTGAACTATCTGATATTTAATAATTTATGTTAAGATTCGTAATATTGTCTTCAGATTTTAAGTTAAATTGAAATTGAATTCACTAAAAAAGTTAGAAACCAACATTTCATTCTTTCTTCGACATACTTTTTGTTGTAACTGTTGTTATTGTTGTTTGTGTATATTTCTTTGTAGTTTTTTTCGTTGGATATTTTCGATAAAAACAACCTTTAATTGATAAAGTAACATTAAACGGTGCATAATTATCATTTGTTTCCAATATTGAAATACGAATAAATCTCACACGATGTTTTTTCTTTGAATTTATTATAACTTTCATTGTTGTTGTTTTTTCCCGAAATAAACGTTTATGATATCGATCAAATAATTCAACAATTATTTTTTTTACATTCGTTCGATTTAATATATAATCAGGAATTGATATTTCATTAATACGAGATAAGATATTGTTATGAATACGAATATCAATGACAGCTTGTGATGTATTATATGTAATTCCATCGTAACCTTGTAGTAGATTACCATAAGTAGAATTTATTGGACGAGTGCCACCTATTTTTGCTATAACATTCTTGGTATAAAGAGAATTCATGGCATCGATTTGTGTACAGTTTTCTATAAAAACGAATAAATTAAATAGATAAGGTGTTGGGAGCTCGATCAAATTTTCTTTTCGATGTTTTTGGTACCGGCTAAATAGAGCTTGTCGAATTAATTACCTCAAAAAAAAAAAAATACTGTTTCTTTGTTGAGAGAACGGATTTTTTTTTCGCTATGATAGCAAAACGTCATCAAGACGGGTTTATATTTCGTAATAGTGACCATCAGAAGTTCAGTCCCAAATAAAACCAACATCATATTGAGAATCAACAGAAACAACTGCATCGTATAAGATACTTAGTAAACTCCAAAAATAGAAGGTTAATTACAAGAAGAATTTCACAAGGCGTAGTAAAAAGTCATGCGCTTTTCAAAATCTTTGTTTTTTTAGAAGTCTACAGAATTTTTTTAGAGTTTCAATGCATGAAAAACCTTGTTTTTCTAGTAATAAAAAAAAATTTTCTCGCACTTAATTGCTAAGTATGCATGCCTACGTGAATATTAGAAAAGTTTTTCAAAAACCAATATTTTTCTTGGTACATGTCAGTAAAAGATTATCACGTAATAGAAAGTCATTTTTGAAATAGCGATATGAATTTCCATAATAGAAGGACGTACCTTTTAATTTGGGGAGATACTTAAGACAAATTGTTAATTGAATTTCGATCTTAGGGAAAGCACAAGTCCAATTATTCGAAAATAATAATGAGAAACTGTAAGGAGTAAAACTTGACGAAAACTTGTTTAGGTATTGAGTATACTATTCTATTCTAAAGCTCACCAGATCCGAAGTATTCCGTATCTTCGTGACGACTATACACAATTTCGATTAAAAAATTTTATTGGGAATATCAAAGTATAGTTCGACCAGATTCGAGTTCGAAAATTTTGGATTCGACAGACTCTATTCGATGTAGATGCTTCTGTTGGCTCTGAAACGATATTCATTCTAATTGAAACTGACATTCTCAAGGTCAAAATCTCTGAACACGAACCATAAGAATGACGTTTTGCTATTATACCAAAAAAAAAAACATCGACTTTCTCAACAACAAAACAATATTTTTCAAAAACCAGGCGTAGCTTTTCCCCAATCATAAATCGAGTAAAGTCAAAAAAATAATTTGAATAAATGTGTAAGATTATCGAGATTTGAAAAAAAAACTTTATTTACTTTGTTTCGGTATTTTTGTTTGTTTAAAACAAGCTCGCAATAGAAGAGTGACATGTTTCGGTGGTCGATTATCATTGGTATCTAATATTTCAAGTTTTAATAATCGAATTTTTTTAAAAAGATTTTTTTCTATTGGAAATTTATCAATTGTTGGCGACGTTAATGATCGTTTACTATCGGTTGATAATATTTTATATTGACCAATAGGTTGTCTTTGTTTATCAAGAAATGTTAATTGAAATCGATTGACATTACTTGGTCGAAGAATTTGAAATTTAATAAGATTTATTATTGTTGTATTTTGTTTTAATGGAAGAATAATAGTAACAACATTTGATGGGGTATTAACTAAAAACTCAATACCTTTGTTACCAGGATTTAAATCCGAAATAGAACCAATAATAGGAGTAGAAAATTCTGGTTTTGAAATAAATTGATCGTTTATAAGAGCTGATTGAATTTCACATGTTGGTTCAGTTGTCGTAGGAGTCACAGTAACTTTTTCCAAAGGAATAAGTGTAGTACCAAGAATGCTTGTTGTAGAAGGTCCCGGTGTGGTAGTAATACTAGTTGTGAAAGGCATGGGAATAGTATTAGTTGAAATAGTTGTTGTTAAGGCTATTAGAAAAATCGAAATAAAATTTTTACATTCATAAATAAATGTTAAGTTTAGGAATAAATCTTTTTTTGTTTTAAACTCACATATACAATCTGGATGTGTTTCATCTTCGCCTTTAGAACAATGTCGCATTCCATCACATAAGAAATCTTTATTTAAACATTTTCCATCTAAACATGTATATTCATCTTTAGCACAATTTCCTGTACAATTATATTCATCTGTTCCATCAATACAATCTGATATACCATCACAAACACGTCTTGAATCAATACATTGACATATATGAATACATGAAAATGATGATGTACATGTACATGATGAACAACCTATTTCATCTGATCCATCATCACAATCTTTATGCGAATCACATCGTTGATCAATAGGTAAACAATTTAAATTATCAGGACATTGAAAATAACGTCCACTTAATGTATCACATTGATTGAGTTCTGTATAGAAGAAAATTAATTGAAATTAAATCGAAAATTTAAGATAATAGACATAATGAATTTGACTTAGATATGAGCAGAATTAGTCACTTTTAGTCTCGGTACTGGCAATATTAGAACCATCTTGTCGATATCTACTATCCATTTCAAAATATAATGTGTTCCACTGTTCTTTGAATAATTTTGAAAAGGAGTATCAT